AAGGAGGAGGGGAGCTCCGTGCAGCATTGAGGCTGCGCTTCACGGTGGTAACTGGCAAAAAAGTTAGGCGAGGTCAGATGACTGAGGAGGATGAGGGTGAGTGAAGGCCCAGCAGAGCGCTGACGCTCCACGGGGCTGGGGACACAGGTGGGGTTCCCTGGCCTGGCAGAACTGGGCTGTGCTCCTCTCTGCTGTGGAAATGACCCCACCCCAGCCGGCCTCGCCCCTCTCCAGCCGGGTCAGGCCAGGAAGCGGCTGGCTGTTGACTTCCTAGCAGAGCCCTGCTGGCTTTTCACATCTGAAAATAGTAACACACATGTGCACATGAGCGCGCGCGCGCACACACGCATACACACACACACACACACTCCCTTCTGTTTTCCCCATGGCTCTGGGCTCCTCTGGCCCTCGGCTGAGGACTCTCAAGGACTGAGGCGTGGGCTGAGCCCAAACCCTGTCTCCTCCTACTTCTCTCCCTGATCCCCGACCCTCCCCTCTGGGGAAGGAGCAGGACAATGACTTGCTGGTCTCCGCAGTGTGGTGCTGGCTTGGGACAATGACCCAGTTATCACAGAAGCAGGGGCTGAAGGGGCCCCGAGGACAGGGCCAGGGAGCTGGGGGCAGAAGCACAGGGTGGTGGGGCTCCGCTCGGGGAGTGACTTCCGCCAGCTCCGTGGGCCTCTGGTCCCAGCTGTCAGCCTGCCATTGAGCCATCCCGGGGTAGGAAGAAGCTGCCTCCATTGAGGACTCTTTTGAACTCTTTGCATTTTACTTTTTAAACCATGTAAATGTATTTCTTTGGGGAAATTTCTTTTTTCCTTAAGAGACAGGAGCTCACTACGTTGCCCAAACTGACCTTGAACTCCTGGGCTCAAGGGATCCTCCTGACTCAGCCTCCCAAGTAGCTAGGATAACAGGCATATCCCACTGCACCCTGATGAAAATATTTTAATTTAAAAATAGGACCTCATTTATTTTTTCCTTCTGTAAATAATGAATCATTTACTTGAGTTAGATCATCAGAGCTCAGTGCAGCCCCTGTGAGTTCTTTAAGGACCAGCCCGGGCTCAGTGGGTGGGAAGGCTAAGGGGAGGTGAGGGTCCTGGTTGGCTTTGACAGTTGGCAAAGCTAAAACCCACCCGGAACGCTCTGTGACTTGGCTCGGGGCGTGAGCCCTTTCATCCTCCTGCTGACTGTAGGTTTTAAATCCTGCTGATCTAGTAGGAAAGATCAGGGTCTCCAGGGAGAAGCAAGGGGCACCCCGGGGCCACAGAGGGCTTGATTGGCCTAAAGACCCCGTCAGAAGATGATCCAGATGGATGCAGAAGTCAGCACAGTTTCAGGATACAGAAATCTGCAGATGCAAATCAGTAGGACCCGTAATCCCACCATCTGGGAGACTGGGCCAGGAGGGTCACAAGTTGGAGCCCAGCCCAGGCAAATCAGCAGCTCTCCAACAAGAAAAGGGCAGTGCTGCTAAAGATGCAGCTCAGTGCAAAGACCCTGGGCCCAATCCCCAATACCAAAGAAAAGAAAAGAAAAATCCTAGCACCTTGTTTATGCACTAATAACAAGGCTGCCTGGAAAGAAGTCATGAAAGGGATTCTGACTCCCATTTTTGTTGTTTTGTTTTGTTGAGACAGGCTCTCACTTGGTATCCCAGGCTGACCTTGAACTCTATGTAGCCCAGCCTGGCCTCCAATTCCCAGAGATCCTCCTGCCTCAGCTTCCCAGTGCTGGTACCTCGCCTGGCCGACTCCATTTTCCTAAGCTACCTTCCTCGCCCCACCTCCACAGTGCGCTGTATGCCGAGCTTAGCCCCCGGCAGGAAGGGGCTGCCTTCAACAGCACGTGAGGCCTGACAGCTAGAGAGCCCTGGCACCGGAAGGGGAAAGAGTCCACCACTGCCAGGAGGGAACCGGTGCTGGTGGAAGCGGGGCTTCCTGGCTGAACAATGCTTCCCGGGGAGCGGAGGAGAGGGAGGCGGCACAGGGAGGCACCGGTTTCCATGGAGGCCTGCAGCTCCATTTGCTCCTGGCAGAGCCAGGGACGCTTTGCTGAGGGCGTGCGCCGAGCCCTGGGGCCTTTCCTGTGGACACGGTGTCCCCCTGCCTGACAGCCAGGCCCCTGCCACCTGGTCCACAGATGCACAGGTCAAGGTCCTCACGCTGAACTTTCTCGCCGCACCAGAGATAGTGATAGCTCAGCCAAGCATGCGCTGCTGACAATGATTAACCCACCTGGGTTTCTGGCAGAGGCACCGGGTCACTCACTGCGCGGCGACAGCACCAGAGCCCGCCAGGTTCTGCTGTCACCTTCTGCTCCCACTGCACCCAAAGGACACAAAGAAAATTAAAAGATTTTTTTTTTGGTATCGGGGATCGAACTCAGGTCCTTGTGCTTGCACAGCAGGCGGCAAAACCATTGAGCTAAATCCCCAGCCCTGTTTTGTTTATTTTTAAATTTAGTTTCGTTGAGTCCACGTTTGCAGCACAAGGTGCCCACATTCCTCTGGGGACATCACACCTTTCTAGTGGCAGTGACAGAGGAAAGTAGATGACTCTCTCAACAGAACCTGGAGCCCCTGTCAGAAGAGAAGACTGAGCTGCAGACAAAGTCAGGCTTTCTTTGGGGCAATAAGTGCAATTTTTGGCTGGGTGTAGTGGCATACACCTGTAATACCACAGTTGGGAGGCTGAGGCAGGATTGCCGTGAGTTCGAGGCCAGGCTGGGCTCAGGGAGAGACAAAACAAACAAACAATGTTTTAAATGCAGTTTTTGGGTGCTAGGATGGCACATGATGGATTTCTGTTTTTGGAGAAAACGTCTCGGCAGAGCCAGTGAGTGTCCCAACCGCGAGCAGGCCCCAAGTTTCCAGCGCTCCCCGGGCTCTGGGCCATTTCCTGGGGGCGCCAATAGGACTCTTGGCTCAACAGGGAGGAGCTGGGAGGCCTTGCAGGACCAGGACCGACATCAGCAGGGAAACGCCTGGCCTCCCCGGGCTGCCAGGCTGCCAGGGTCCCGAGGACAATGGGATTTAGCCCGGCGAAGTTAGATGGGCGAGAAGGTGACAAGAGCTAGAGGGAGAGGGTGGGGCCCCTTTCCGGAAATAGTTGTTTTGTGTTCAGAGCTGGGGACGGAACCCAGGGCTTTGCACATGGCAGGGGAACCCTTTAGCGCAGATTCACACCCAGCCCTTCCAGGGCTGCAGAAAAAGAGTCGGCTCTCAGCAAAGCAGAACCGCAGGGACTCAAATGCTTCACCTAGAGCTGGGTGTGGTGGCTCACACCTGTAATCCCAGCTCTAGGGAGGCTGAGGCAGGAGGCTACCTGCATATCAAAAAAACCCACAACAACAAACCAAACCAACAAACAAAAGCTTGAGTGCCTTCGCCTGCAGTCTTCCTTCACCGCCCGTGTCCCGAGGCCTTTGAGAAGCCATGAGCAGGGCTAGAGGGTCAGAGGATGGGCCCCAGCGCATATGGCGCTGAGCAGTCAGAGGTTCTGAGTGACAGGGTTACCAACATGGCAGAGAGCTTCCTGCCTCCCGCTTCTTCCTCCCGGAAAGGATCATTGGCTCCTGAAGACGTTAGCAGCACAGGGATCCACAGGGCTCTCAGGTTTCTCCCGGGCTCCCCATTTCCTCCCCCTACACCGAGCACGGGACTGACCCCGCCCTGTGCAGAGGTCCTGGCTGTGGGTGACCAGCCGGGACCTGACAGTGTGACCTGGGATGTTTTGTGGGAGCACCGCCCCACTCACCCGGGCTCACCTAGGACGGGGAAAGCTCTGGGCCTGGGCATCGCCGCCGTGGTTGCTCAATGCCTCCTGGCAGGCTTAGCTGTCTCTTCAGGCCACTGCCTGGGGCCTCTCATGCCCACGGTGTACAGCACACAGGCCCACGTCCCCCCAGCACCTGCTAATTTCACAGCCCCATGGCACCAGCTCCTCTGCCCGCCAGCTGGCCCGGCAGGACACGATGCTCAGGGACGACTGCTGTCCCCGTGAGCCAGTTTGAGGGGAGCCGGAGGGGATGGGCGTCCACGTCACATGTCCTGGAGGGGGTTCTGGTCATTTCCAGGAGGGAAGACGCCCACCTTTGCTACATGAGCTCCAACTTTCTCTTCACTGTCCCCAGTCTACCCCTCACTGGTCACTACAGACTCGCTGATGGGAAACTTAGGCTGCATCCTTGAAAATGTGTGACTTCGTCACCAACTCACTCCCCTGCTCCCTTCTGAGTCCGCAGGGTGGTTTTGGTCCCCCACAGCCTACTTCTACAAATGTACTCAGAAGGGCACGCACCATGCTGAAGTCCTTTCTGAAAAACACCCAGAACTTCCTAACTTTTTCTCCAGAGTCTCCAGTTACCAATTTGCTGGTGTCCTTTTGCACGGACATACATTTATTCTGCTTAAAAGTTACGCGCTGAAACCCTAACAGTAAAGTCACTAAGTGAATTAATAAATCATCCCATTCACCAACGTTGGCTTTCTGGCCTGATGAGATACAGAGCAGACACCAGGAAGAGGGTTGACCCCCCAAAGCAGGCAGAGGTCACCCCAGGCCCTAGCGCAGCGAGGCAGGACCAGAAAGGGACAGGACCCAGAGCAACCACACTGGGTATCCTAAAGATGAAGAAAACCGGAGCGCCGGCATCATTGAGGCCCCCAGCAAGGGCAGCTGCAGACTTCGAAAACAGGTCAGCTCGGCCTCGGTGGAATTCGACTCTGCCCTGAGTCCTGGGTGCCTCGGGAGCCAAGAGGGCAGCCCCTTGCACGGTAAGCAGTGTGCCCAGGTTAATGATTGGCCCTGCCAGGGGCCGATCAGGCTGTTTTTGTGTGTGCCTGTTTTGCTATTTTACGTAAATCACCCTGAACATGTTTGCATCAGCCTCCCAATGATGTACCTTTGATCAATAGAATTTAGACAAAAGTGGTTTTGAGTCCAAAGATCAGGGCTGGGTTGGCCTGCGGACTGGCTCCAGGGCATATAAAACAGGGGAAAGGCGCAGGGTGATAGCAGAGCCATTGATACCCAGCCTGAGTCCCCACGGCCTCCCCAGGTCCCCGGCACGAGGATGGAGCACGGCATGAACGTGCTGCATGACTTTGGGATCCAGTCCACGCGCTACCTGCAGGTGAACTACCAGGGCTCCCAGGACTGGTTCATCCTGGTCTCCGTGCTGGCCGACCTCAGGAACACCTTCTATGTGCTCTTCCCCATCTGGTTCCACCTCCGGGAGGCCGTGGGCATCCGGCTGCTCTGGGTCGCTGTGGTCGGAGACTGGCTTAACCTGGTCTTCAAGTGGTGAGCAGCACTCAGCGGGAGACGGGTGGGGGCGCTGGCAGTGAGGGAAGGGCTGTGTGCAGCCAGCCAGGGTCCCCAAGCTGCGCAGGGGGCCCCTGCCCCTCCGCCTGGACTTGGATTCTCTCCATGGAGGGGACAGACATGGAGACAGCCCTGTCCGTGCATGGGAGCCCTAGGATGGCCAATGTCCTAGGAACCACGGCGGGACAGGTGACGTCAGGGAGAATCCTGGGCCATCTCAGGCTTTAAGCAAAGAATCAGTTCGGTGACTTTGAAGGAGAATTGAGGGTTGGGGTGCAGCTTGCCCAGTGTGCACGAGGCCCCAGGTTCCATGCCCAGAACCACAGAGGCAAAAGGGAATTGAGGCCATGAAGACAGACGATGTGTGGGAAACGGAGAGAGAGGGCTGGAAACCCTGTCAAACGGGTGAGGAAGGGGAGAGAGCCTGGCTCTGGCCCGTGGCTGCCTTGCTGACTGCAGCCTCTGCCAGACCTAGCAGCTCTCCAGCCTTCTGGTTTTTGGTCTGTGAGCTCAGTTTCCGCTAGAACCGGAAGGATCTCCATTAACACGTGTCAGACACACGTCACGTGCCAGGCCATCTGCGGTTTCTACGGCGTCACAGGAGGGATGGAGGCGCCAGGTTAACTGGGTCAGCCAATGTCCCTCCAGCCCCCAGCACTCGGTCCACACCCTGCCTGATCTCATGAGTTCCAGCCAGAGAGGAACTGCTGTGTTGAATGACAGGTTTATTTTTTTCTTGCATATTTATGTTTGTAGAGCTGCCGATCGAACCCAGGCCTGGCACATGTTGAGCAAGTGCTCTACCCCTGAGCTATAGTGGTGCCCTAGGCGAACCTTAGGATCTCTTTCAAGACTGGGTGTAGTGGCACAGGCCTCTAATCTGTCCCTCTCAGGAGGCTGAGGCAGGAGGATCAAGTTCAGGCCAGCCTGGGCAATTTAGACTTTGTCTCAAAAACAAAAAACAAAAAACTCCCAGCTCAATATTCTTTGGCCATACACAATAAAAGTTCTTTAGAGTAAGGAAAAGAAGTGTTATTGGGTAAAGCATATTGATGAGATTCCTGAAACCTCTGTTGGAAAGTTGTCAAATTTTGTCTTCCCCTTTTCAGTGATATGAACCTAAAAGATAGCAAGGTATCTGCTGCCTGCCTCCCTAGAAAGCTCAAGGTCCCGAGTTCGATCCCCAGTACCAAAAAAAAAAAGTAATTAGCTGCCACTAAGATGGAATATTTTATCTTGGTTTTAATTTTATTTATTTTTATTAAGAAATGTGGTCTCGGGCCAGAGGCAAGGACCAGAGTTCGATCCCCGGTACCAAAAAAAAAAAAAGAAATGTGGTCTCGCCGGAGATTTAGCTCAGTGGTGCCACCATCTGGTTCTCAAGTGCAAGGTCCCGAGTTCGATCCCTGGTACCAAAAAAAAAAAAAATACACATGAAAGAAATGGGGTCTCAAGTCAGGCACAGCGGCACATGGCTGTACCCTTAGCTACTCAGGAGACTGAGGAAGGAGGATCACAAGTTCAAGGCCAGCTCGGCAACTTAATGAGGTCAGGTCTCAAAATAAGAAATAAAATAAATTGAGGATCTAGCTCAGTGGTAGAGCACTTGCCTAACATGTGTGAGTCCCTGTGTTCAAGTCCCAGACACCCCCCCCCGAAAAGAAGGGGGGGAAAGAGAAAAAGAGATGGGGGTCTTGCTATGTTGCCCAGGCTGGTCCTGAACTCCTGAGCTCAAGCAATCCTCCTGCCTCAGCCTCCCGAGTAGCTGGGACTACAGGCATGCACCACTATCCCTGACTTTTGATTTATTTATGTTTTAATATAGAAAACATTCAAATTTTAAAAGTTATCTAAAGGCTGTGTCATAAAATCTCTGCAGGCCCCTCCTCAGCTACCCAGTCCCCTTCCTGGAGAGGACACAGGGGCTCAAGCCCCTTTCTCCTCTAGAAAGTGAGGGCTGAGGCAAAGGTGTGCCCGGGTGGCTCCAGACACATGGTTGGGCTTCTCTCAGGATTCTCTTCGGACAGCGCCCGTACTGGTGGGTCCGGGACACTGACTACTACGGCAACGCCTCGGTGCCTCTGATCAAGCAGTTCCCTGTCACCTGCGAGACGGGACCAGGTGAGTCCCAGCCCCGTGGGGACAGCAGCGAGGGGGCCTGAGGGGGAGTGTGCTATGCATAATAAATAGGAAAAGCACGCAGGAGATGAGAAGATGCTGATGTGTATGCTAACCCGAGAAAGGGAAGTGAGATGGAGACATCCAGTTGTGGCTCCACCTCCTCCGGCCCCTCGAGGAGTCCTGAAGCTAAGGGGGCCTTTATCATTTCCTGGTGGGCCCGGGCACCAGCCCTTTGGTGCAGGCCACCCCTGGAAGAAGAGGAGACTTTGATCGAGGGGGCTGTTAGCCCTGGCAATGCCTAGAAAGGGTGGGGAACTGAGGGCCATTTGCACCTGCAGCCTCAGCCCAGGGAGTTCTGGGGGAACCTCAGGACTCAGCATCACTCTGGTAGAAGAATGGGGCATTGAACTGCAGTGTTAAATGGGGTGGCCCCAGGGGACCCTTTGATAAGGAGAGGTCTGAGCCAAGACTCAGAGGCAGGGTTTCAGGGCAAGAGCAGTCTGGCCAGAGAGCACAGCGATGCAAAGACCTGGGGTGGGGGAGCACCGGGCATGTTTAAAGGACAGCAAGGCAGCAGTGTGATCAGAACAGCGAGCAAAGAGGGCTGGGGATTTAGCTCAGTGGTTCTGCCATCTGCCTTGCAAGCGCAAGGACCCGAGTTCAATCCCCGGTACCAAAAAACAAAAATAAAAACAAAACAAAAGAACAAGAGGAAGGAGAAAAGCAATAACAGGCATAGTGGCACGGGATTAACATCCAGTGTGCTGAGATTCTGTGTGGTCTACAGACTGCAGCAGGGATCTTCTCCGGTTTTATTCCCTACTGTGCTCCCAGAGCTGTGCACAGTGCTCAGCCCAGAGCAGGAGCTCACTAGATATCTGTTAAATAAATAAGTTATGGATAAATGAATGGAGAGTGGGCAGGTGAATAGATGGGTAAATGGATGGGTGGGAGGATGGGAGATTGGGGGGATGGATGGATGGATGGGAGGATGGATGGGTGGGTGGGAGGATGGAGGATGGATGGACGGGTGGGAGGATGGATGGATGGGGGGATGGGAGGATGGAGGATGGAGGATGGATGGATGGATGGATGGATGGGAGGATGGGTAGATGATGCCCTTGGCAGTCTCTCAGATGGAGACCTTTTGATCTTCAGTCTGTTCATCTCTTTCTTGCCCTTTAGGGAGTCCTTCTGGCCATGCTATGGGTGCAGCAGGTGTATACTATGTGATGGTCACATCCACCCTTTCTATCTTTCGGGGAAAGAAAAAGCCAACATACAGATTTCGGTGAGAACTCCACTGGAGTGTGGGTGGAGGAAGGAGGTGGCCCTTTCTGTGGCTGACAGCACCTGCTCTTCCTGCACCCCTCACCCTCGGAAGCTGGGGAGCTTTGCTGAGGGCGGACATGAGAGCCACAGAACGACACACTGGTGCCTTTGTCTTTAGGACAGAATCAGAAGTCTGACACCAGGAGGGCTTCTAGAGCTCAGCTGCTGGGCTTGGGTTACTGTCGCCTCTCCCCTTGCAGGTGCCTGAATATCACCCTTTGGTCCGTGTTCTGGGCTGTGCAGCTGAATGTGTGTTTGTCCCGGATCTACCTCGCTGCTCACTTCCCGCACCAGGTTGTCGCTGGAGTCTTGTCAGGTATCTGGCTCCCTCCCTGCCCCCAGCCTGTCACCCCCTAATCAGGGCAAAATCCCAGCATTCCAGGCATGTTCTGCACATCCTCTGTGCCGTTAGCCTCTCAGGAGCTTGAAAGTCAAGGGTAGAGAGCCTGAGGCAGGATGATGACAAGTCCAAGCCCAGCTTGGGCACCTCAGGGACTTAGGGAGACCCTGTCTCAAAAGAAAAAATTTAAAAGGGGCTGGAGATGTAGCTCCGTGGGAAGGCCCTGAGTTCAATGCCCAGTATGTGGAAGGAAGAAAAGAAGGAAAGAAAGAAAGAAAAAGAATGAATGAATGAAAGAAAAGAGAGAAGGGAGAGAAGGAAGGAAGAAAGGAAGGAAGGAGAAATCAGCCAGGGAAGGCCGGGAATTTGAATCCTTCTGTACAGCAGCGCCCAGCCCTACCCCATTAAGTGTGTTCCACAGAAGCTGCTGTGAGTCAGAATAACTCACCCAATCAGATTAGTTTGAACTCTCCAAGCTTTTTAGTCTTTATTTTTTACTGATTTTCATTTGGAAGTGGGCCCCAATGTCATTTTCAGGGACTTGCCAAATTTAACACATTCAGACAGCGTCCTAGGAAAGCCCTTTATTCATTTTTTTTTTTTTTTTGGTGCCGGGGATTGAACTCCGGTCCTTGCGCTTGCGCAGCAGGCGGCGAAACCACTGAGCTAAATCCCCGGCCCCAATTCTTTTTTTTTTTTAAGAAGTCTTTTAGGGCAAAATTTAATAGTACGAAGAGGTTTACAAAAATAGATTGATGTTATTTTGAGGAATCATACTGTAATTTCAATTCAGTTTTGTTAAATTGTACCTAATCATACAAAAATTACTCCAAATTCAAATTTGATATAAAAAAGAGAGATGAAATGAACTCAGCTAGATGACAGATCTGGTAAAATATAAGAATGAAAAAATTCTATGTGGGGCACTTATTTCAGGTCCAGATAGAAAAGCCATTTCCCTCGATAGCGTCTCCTCTTCCTGTCAGCAATCCCAGATCGCAGCTGGCCATGCCATGGTCTTCTGCTCGATGAGACATGGGAAAGCTGCTTCTGTTCCGGGCCTCTCCGCCTCTTTGGCCCAGTCCTTCATGTTCACATGCTAACAAGCAGCGCCCAGAGTCCAGCGAGGGGTGCTGCTGGGCCGTGAGCCACCCTGGGCGTCCTTACTGACCGAATCTGAAGGCTCATTGAGTTCCACCCTCACACCTTTTTCACGTGTTAGATATTTTATTTATCTCTCTCACTCGCTCATCTGTATCAAAATACCAAACAGTTATTGCGTACCTTGTGGCATATGCTGGTTGTACTTCAGGAGGGTTGCCACGGTCAGACCAGAAAAACAGCAGTCTATCAAATTTGAGTTCAGTGTCAGCAAACTGGAAAAGCCCTTTATTCAAATACACCCTTTTGCAAACCCAGTAAGCGCCTGCAGCTGATCTGTTGTAGTCAGAGTTTTGCATATCTGCATTCCCTTAGATCTATAATAAGGGGCCGAAAGATTCTAAGTTAAATGTAAAGAAGAATTTCTCAACTTTGTGGAAGGCTCCAGGGTATAAAATTTTAGGGAGACTGTAGGGTTTTCCCCTGTAGCTGTAAGAGCAGATGCAGTGTGCTCTCCCCAAAGAGTGTGGAGGACCAGGGAGAGAGGACCAGGGAGAAGGCGGCTTCACGGAAACCACAACAGTGACATCGCAGGCTGCTCTGGGTCCTCTGTTTGGGGAAGAATCTGGAAGCGATGTCACATGAAAAGCCTGGAAATGTTTAGGTCAGAGAGGAGAACAGCTGTCTTCAAATGTGTGACTGAGGAACTCGATTTGCCACGTACTGGCTTCTGTGGGAAGAGCAGAGACCGGTAGGTGGCCTTCGTGGGGACAAGTGTCTGTGCAATACAAGGAAGAACTAGTTCGCACTTGTGGCTGGAGTGGGAGTGAGCTCCCCAGCCCCAGGGGTGTTCAAACAGGGCAAGAGGGGAACAGGAAGCTTAGATGCAGTGGGGGGCAGGAGCGGTGACTCAGCCATGTGACCACATTCATGCACGGCAGGTGGCCTGCTGCTCCGATCCCCCTCTAGCAAGAGTCTGGGGTCTTTTCCGTCCCTCATGCTGCCGTTCTTCCCCGTGCCCAGGTATTGCTGTTGCGGAAACTTTCCACCACATCCGGGGCATCTACGATGCCAGCCTCAGGAAGTACCTCCTGGTTACCTTCCTCCTGTTCAGTTTCGCTGTTGGCTTCTACTTGCTGCTCAGGGCTCTGGGCGTGGACCTCCTGTGGACGCTGGACAAAGCCAAGCAGTGGTGCGAGCGGCCGGAGTGGGTGCACATCGATACCACGCCCTTCGCCAGCCTCCTCAAGAACCTGGGGACCCTGCTGGGCCTGGGGCTGGCCCTGCACTCAGACATGTACCGTGCGGGCTGCTGTGGCTGGCTCAGCAGACGGCTTCCATTCCGCCTGGCCTGCATCGGGGTCTCACTCGTGCTCCTGCACCTCTTGGATGCATTGAGGCCTCCGGCACGGGCCGAGCTGGTCTTCTACGTCCTGTCTTTCTGCAAGAGCGCGGCGGTGCCGCTGGCGTGCGTCAGCTTCATCCCCTGCTGCCTGGCCCGGCTCCTGGGCCAGTCCCGCAGGAAGGCACAGTGAGCTGTGTGGAGTCCGCAGATCCAAACCAGTGACAGGGCCGGGTGGGGACCACAGCCTCCTGCCAGGGCCTTTTGGGGCCAGCTCCTGGGAGCCTCTCCCCACTCTGCGGCCGACCCTAAGGAGAGATGGTTTCAAGACGCTGATGAGACCGCTGCAGGAAGCCTGGACTGTCAGAAGTTGCGTCCTCCTGGATGCTCCTTGAGAGCTTCTCTCCTGATTCTCCCGCCTGACGGGGCAGCGAGACCTCCAGGTCGGGGAGCTCCGGAGCCCAGGACGGAGACTGCAACTGAGACTTCACCAGGTGTGCTCATCCTCACCCCCACAGGAGAAAGGCGCAGTGAATTTGCTAGGGAAGGGAGGATGGGGCGAGGAGTGTTTTAGTACCTTGCGCATAATTGCTAGACGCCAAGCAGAGTCTAAATGGCCTCAGTGGTATGTGAATCCTTAGACGTGGTGCTCTCGGCAATGGCAGACCAGCCAGGTGTGGTGGTGCACACGTCATCCCAGCACTTGGGAGGCTGAGGCAGGAGGGTTGCAAGCTTAAATCAAACCTGGGCAATTTAGCAGCTTAGAGAGACCTTGGCTCAGAATGAAAGATAAAACAGGGCTGGGGAGGTAGTTCAGTGTAAAGGCCCTGGATTCAATCCCTGGTGCCGCACATTGAAAAAATTCTGCCTCTGGCATTTTTCTATGCATGGCCCTGGTGTTGATTTCCAAATGGCTGCAGTGACTGAGGTACTGGACCAGGCCTGAACATTCAGCCCTCCTTGACTTCTCTTCCATCATCTTCCATCTTCCTCCCTATCAGTCCGGCTCTGTTTTCCCAGACTTCCCGCTGGCTCAGAGCCTCAAATGCCCAAAGGGCAACTCTTTGGTGGTGCTTTCGCAGCTTCTAAAACCTTGCCAAGAAATGCCGAGGAGGGGGCCAGGACTCCTCTCTGTCACTCCAGTGTTGCTCTCGATCCCTGCAGGGTAAACACAACTCCTTTCTCTATGCCAAGCCATCCCAGTGCACATCTGTAGAGGAAAAGCCAAGTGCTCCGTGCCAGTTTGCAGTATATGGCCTTAAAACAAAAAACACCGAAGCCTATTTATTCGAGACTCCTTGTTTTTGCTACTGATGATGTAGACTATCGTATATTGTCATTCACACCAACCACCCTAACACCCTTGAAAAAACAACATGTGGGCAGTATTTTATTAAAACATTTTATTTAAAAACAAAGCCTTGTTGATTATCATTCAACTTCTGACCCAGCTAAATTTCTAGCCCTTTCCTGTTTCCCTAAATGAATATCTTGGTTCCTCTGTGCCTGCCTTTTCCCTTTAGAGAGGGAGGGGCTCGTCTTGGTTCCCCAGTGTTCTCGGCACAGGTGGGGAGACTTACGAGCAGCGGAGCACAGCAGCATGAGGACAGAGCGGGTACAGCGCTGGTGCCACACTTGGATCCGTCTGCTTGCCACCCCGTGGGAGGCTGCAGAGGAAGGAAGGGCAGTGATTGGCCAGCTGGTTGGAGGTGGCAGCTGGAGCTCCCTTCCTGGGAGGCTGACCTGGGGCAGATCACCTAGTCCTGAGGTGCTTTTCTTTTTAGTTTTTTGAGACAGGGTCTCCTATGTAGTTCAGGCTGAACTTGAACTCACTATGTAGCCCAGGGTGGCCTCCAATTCATGGTGATCCTCCTGCCTCAGCCTCCTGAGTGCTAGACTGATGGGTATGCACCACCACATCCTACTAGTCACGAGATCTTTTCATTCTGCACATCTCAAGATCCTCACGTCCTCTTGTTGTCGCTGATTAGTTGCCATGTGCAATTCCCAACATGTCACACAGTGAGTGGGTGGGGTGGGGGGAGCTGCCCGAGGCCCTGCTGATCACCACGGTTCGGGTCATGAGAGGAAACACATCTGCCCTGATGGTCAGGGACTGTCGGGTGCCAGTAAGACCCCTGGGTTCCTGTTGGGAGGACAACAGGGAATAAAGGAAAGAGACAGAAACAATATTCGATATGCAAGGGGGACCAGGAAGAATTTGCCTCTAGTGGACAACCTTTGACAAACTCCACGGTGGGCCTTCTTCCATTATTAAGCAAGAAGCACCAGGGAGGGGTAGTGTGCTGTTCTAAGAACTGCGACTGCACTAAGATTAGGGTACCAAGATAAGACCCAGTTTAGCATCTCAAAGGAAACAAGGTAAGGTCCTTCCCCAGGCCTGCAGACTTGCATTTTTTATTGTCCCCAGTAGATGTTACCTTGCCTTAGGAGTGCTATGTTATGGCTTTCCCACACTGCTAGGAAGTCTGTTCCTGAGACAAGTTAGCACTGACCTTGGGACTGCGAGGGGCCTGTTTCCTGACCCCCAGCAATCTGTCCATATCATAGCTGACCCCCAACAGTGGACAGCAGGGTCAGCGGGTGAGACACAGGCAGGAGGCAGCCGTGGCAATCAGGTCTCAAGGCTCACTTGGGAAGCAGGAGGCGCAGTGTCATTGGAGCTGCTCTGTGGGGCCAGACTGCTGCTCCAGGCGGACACGAGGGGTCCCTGCCAGGTGAAGCCACCAGGGTGCTGAGCGAGACTGGGCAGATCCTGGAATCCAGCAAGCCAGGGTCAGTGAAGCTGGGGTTACAGGTAAAGGAAGTCACACACACACACACACACACACACACACACACACACATGCTGTGCAACGGTGTTATTGCTCCAGGAGAGAAAAACACAAAAACACACCACTGCTGCTCCCTGGCCCAGTGCTAAAACACGGCAGATAGATGCAGCCTGAGAGCTTCCTTCCTTTCTTTCTTTTTCTTTTTGACAAAATCATCACCACTTTTCAAATTTTCATAATAGCTTTACTGAGATACAAAACCATGGTTTAAGGCATACAATGGTTTCTAGGGTTTCCACACTTACACAACCATCACCGCAAATCAATGTCAGACCACTTTTCTAGCTGCTGCGAGCGGCCCCCCGAGGTGGTGCTCCTCACTGCCCACCCAGCCCCTGGCACCTCCATCTCCGTCTCCGAGACTTGCGGTCCAAGTGGCACAGGGCCAGGATCACACGACGTGCAGCCCTGCCTGCTAGCTTCTCCCTCTTGGCCTGACGCTCTCCAGGATCGTGGTGTTGAAAGACACACAGGGCTCATCCCTCGGTGTGGATGAACATTTCCTTCAGGGAGGCGCTGTGTTCCGTCTGTTCTCCACTTGGTGGAGATCCAGGGCTTTTCCACTTTGGGGCTTGTGATGGCTGTGTCTAGATGTCCCCCTAAAGCCTCATGTGGTCATGGGGGCTTTTCAGAGGCGGCTGGATCCAGGGTGTGTGGTGCTGAGATTAAGGGTGTGTAGTTACTAAATGCGTCCACTGGTTGGTTTGGCACAGTTCTGGGTGTGGATAATCGGAAGGCCCACCCTGGGCGTGGGTGGCACCACCCAAAGGGTCAGGTGGCCTGGATGGATATAAAGGGACAGAAAGAAGGCAGGCTGCTGCTTCGCTGCTTTGCTACCTTCTGCCTGCCCTGCCATGAACTGTTTCTCCTCTGTCACGCCAGCCTGCCTGGGAGCCAGCTGACTATGGACTTTTGGTGTTGGGTATTTTGTCTCAAGAACAGTAACTAGACAGGGCTGTTTTGTATAAAGCTGCTCTGAACACTTGTGTGCGAGTTTCTGCAGAGATGCACAGTATCTTTTCCCTGGGGTCGCTTCTGGGAGTGGAGCCACTGGGGCTCACAGTCACTGTCCGGTTAGCCTCTCAGGGACCACCAGACTATTTTCCAAAGGCTTAGGAGGAAAGATTTCACAGTGCTTTTGCCTTTGCCATCTCTGGATCTCCTAGGATCACACCTGTCTCAAAGTTCATCAACTTCTTCACTTTGGAAGTTTGAAGAGCAAGGTGACCAAGGAATCAGATTCCATGGAACAAGATGTCTGCGAGCCTCTCCTCCTCCATGGGCAGCGGCTCTGTTGTCATGCTTGATCCCAAGTGTGTGTCATTTGCAGATCTGCCCGAAGCTCCAGCCTCTTCCGCGGACTGGTGGTCTGGCGCCTGTCAAAGTTGCTGACTTGTTTTCTGACAACCATTACTTTTGACTGTTGAATGATTAGTATTTGTTGATCTTGCTCTGTGGTGGGACAGGTACCTTTAGGGCTTATACATGTAAGTAAAATGGGACGATCGCATGTGTATCCAAGGCTCTCTCTGGAGCCTCTTGGGAGTGGAAGAATCGCCAAGCAGGCTTCTGTGGCTGTTTGTTAGGAAAATGACACCAAAGTCACTTGTATCAGAAACCAGGCACCTCATTCCTTTGCAGGACAAGCCAACCCCTGTCCAGTGTAGCAACAGGCAATGGGGGCCAAATTTAACTTCAAGATGAAAGATTAAAAAGCTACATCAGGGCTGCTGCTTCTCAATAGAAAAGGAAAAGTTTAGGAGTATTTTTTATTTTCCCTCAGTTGGCCTTTATTAAAAAAAATTGCTATTAATCCTCCTCAGAATTTTTATTTTTCATTTCCTAGATGATGGGAATGAAGGCTGAGATGGGAGCCACCATGCAGCTCATGCCCCGGTGCGCTGCCCCCTTGCAGTGCCGGTCTCCCTGCTGGTCCTGTGTGTGTCTGGACCCCTGTGGTGACAGAGGAAGACAGGGCCCAACCGCAGCCAGCGACCTGGCCCCGAACCGGACCGTGTCTGGAAGAGCTGGCCGCGGCCTCCTAACGACTCCTGGGCGCCCAGCTTCCGCTGCTTTCCTGGTCTGTCCAAGGCGGATGGACACACAGCTGCTGACAATGGCAAACAGTTTTCATGGGGCTTTCTGACTTGGGGATTTTTTAAAAGTATGCGGCTGATTTTTCCAGCCAGAGAATTTTCAAACTTCCCTTTATGTTGTGTCTTACTTTCTTCTGTCTTCTCATTCTGCAGGCGTTGCCTTCAGACCAGCTCAACCCAATTCCCACAATTTTTTTTTCTTTCCTGTTTTGTTTTGTGAGACAGGACCTCACTATGTAGCCCCAGGCTGGCCTTTAACTCACCATGTAGCCTTGAGGCGACCCTCCTGCCTCAGGCTCCTGAGTGCTGGGATTTGCCACCATGCACGGTTCAGTGCCTACTTTTGAACCCAGCATCAGAACACTGCTGTGCAGAGAGGTCCTTCTGTTTGCCAAGCAGACGCTCTTCCAGCTCTGCCTTGGGTGGGAGATTCGTTGCTCTAAGCCCTCACACCTGCTCCTCCCACCAGGCCTAATCAGACCTGGGCTTACAGAAGTGAACCTCCTGGTGCCGCCCACAGATAGTGGGCATCATTATGGACAGGACGAAATGTGCAGCCGGGCTGGGGCTCAGCCAGCGAGCTGGGTGGGAATGGGGCAGATAAACTCTCTCCTGAGGGGCTCAGGAGGCGCTTGCTTCACAGCCAGGCAGAGGAGAGTAACAAAGAACAAGGAGCACAGCTAAGACAAACTCGGCCTAACACTGCTGCTTAGCACCTGGATTCCACTTCCTCAGAGGACCCAGAAGAGATGAGGTAGCAACATTTTTTTCTCAGTTGGGGATTAAACTCAGGACCTTTCACACACTAGGGAAGAGCTCCATTGCTGAGCTACGCCTTAGCCTGAGATGCACATCTCTGGCACCTCATTGCTACAAAACTCAACAGCCATCACCGGCCAAGTGTAGGGGCACACCCATCATCCCAGCACTCTGGGAGGCTGAGGCAGGAGGGTCACAAATTCAAGCTCAGCCTGGGTAACTTAGTGACTCAGGGAGACCCTGTTTTAAAACCTGAGAAAGGGCTGGGATGGACCTCAGTGAGAAGGCCCTGGGCTTAACCCCCAGAACAAAAACAAAACAAAACTAACTACCGTCAGTACACATTTCTGTGTTGTTAGTTACTAATGAAAAACTCCAATTTAATTGTCGTTTACTCTCCAAGTTAAGGGTGAGAAAGGGAAAAAAAATCCAGGCCAGACAGCCTGGTGCTGATGTTGTTAAAGTAGTAACTCACAGGAAAAGTGGATTTTTAATGATGTGTAAACTTTAAATAATGATCCTTCATTCCAGTGAACACATCCTTGCTCCCTAGTTGTTAAATATTAACTCATACTGACCAAATGTTATGTTTAAATCTTGCCACAAGTATTTATCCATTTCTTCTGTTTATGGTCCCCCCCGCCCCGGGAACTGAACCCAGGGCTACATCCCAGCTTCTTTTGTCTTTTATTATTTATTTGGTGCCAGGGATCGAACTCAGCTCCTTGAGCTTTCGAGGCAGGCAGCAGAACCACTGAGCTAAATCCCTGGCCCCTTATTTTCTACTTTGAGACAGGGTCTAAGCCACTAAGTTGGTCCAAGGTGGGCTTGAACTTGTCATCCTCCTGCCTCAGCCTCCCAGAGTGCTGGGATGACAGGCTCTTACCACTAGGCCTGGCTTGAGCTGTTATTTCAGCACTAGAGGTGGAGCAGGGCCTTGTCCCTGGCAGAGGCAGGCAAGCTCTCTGGCCAGAGCCGGCCCCCAGCCTAGTTTCTGGATCTGACTGATTCCTACTGTGAGCGGTTGTGTTGCTTGTTTTTGTTTTCCTAAAAGAAGTGCCAGTCCACTGTGAGCCGAGTCTGTAACCTAAGGCAGAGACCACGTTAGTTTTTCGTAAAGGTTTGTTTGGCATCTCTGGTTTATTTTTGCCTTCTGAAGTCAAATTTCCTGCTTTTTCTCCATTTAAAAAACAAGTCCCTGCCACTCGGCTGATGTCAGGAGCCCTTGGCATGGCTGGGCCTCGATCCTCCGGGTCACAGAGGTCTGGTTCCAAGTAGGCTTCCCTCCCAGCCCGTCTCCGCGTTGCTGGATTCCGGAGCAAACAGGTCTTTTTTTCTTTTTTTGGTACCGGAGATCGAACTCAGGACCTTGAGCTTGCAGGGCAGGCGGTGGAACCACTGAGCTAAGTCCCCGCCTCTGCTTCTTGGAGTGCTGGGGATCAAACCTGGGCTTCCCCCGTGCTAGGCACCAGCTCTCCCACTGCCACACCCTCAGCCCTGGAGCAGAGCTCTGATGCCAGGATTCGCCTTTTCCTGAGCCTTGGGGCCTAACTAGGAAGATTGTTTTGGTGACAAAACCACGCCCTTCGGTGGGTCTTTATTACCAGAGTGTCTGCTCTGCTCTGGAGAGGCTGGCCGGGGCAGGCGCTCGGTGCTCACTCTGAAACCCTGCAGCAAATGCCCCCAACCTGTTGGAGGGAACTCAAACTCGATTCCGCTTCCTTTTCCCTTCCTCAGGACTCTCCCACACGTTTTTGCACAGCACACATTTTACAGAGCTGCAATTTTTCCCTTTTAAAAGATCGCTTAAAATAATCGAGTCTCCTGGAGCCGAAAGGCTTTCCAGGCACTCGGTGACCTCGCTATACCCTAGCATCCGACCCTTCCCTTATTCGGCATTGGGATTATTCCCGGTTCTTAGCACTTATAAATAGCACATGGAAATCTTTGCACGAATTACATTTTTTCCCTTTTGAGTTATTATTTCCTTGGGGGTATATTCCCCAAACTAGTATTACTGGGTCAAAGGTTTCAAAAGTTCCATAGCTCTGGTTTCCCGCTGTCCGAACATTCCCTGGGCAGATCCGGACGAACTGAGCAGGTCCAGCGTTTCGCCAGGTTTCCCACAGGGCAGCAGAAAACTGATCTTCGTCCTGCTTTCTCCCCGCATCAACTTCAGTCGGGGAAAGAGTTGCAAGATTCAAAACAAAACAAACATAAAGATGGGAAAGCACTCTTTCTGTAGCCAGGAGAAGCTCTTCCGCACACACTAGATTAGAATGAGCGCGGAGGAGGTCAGAATTGGAACAGCTGCAAGCCTGCGGTCAGCAGCAGAGGGAGCGGAGGTCCGCAGTGCCTTGGAGGTCTGGTGGGTGGTGACGGCTAAGGGCCGGAGGGGGTGGTGGAGAGGGGC